ATATAACAACCATTGCCCGAAAAAGAAATGATGAAAATGTTTTCTTTCATTAATTGAAACTCGATTACAAATGGGCAATTATAAAAAAGAAAACAAAAACAAAGCAAGGAAATCTTCAGGCTGATGGATTAGTCGGAGCCTCATCCTCGACCTGTCTAGGAAGGTGACACCCTGAGGAAGAGATGGCTTGTCAACACGAGAAGCGGTGACTTCCACTACAAGATAGGGAACCTCAATTGGTGGCATTGTGTTTGGGGGAGTTGGATCCTCGAGTTGAAGCTGGGGCTCGACCTTTTTCTCGCCTCCTTTGGCCTCTCCTTGGACCTCGCCTTCTTTCTCGGACTCGTCTGAGTAAACATAGACCTCCCCTTAGGCTTCGACCCTCATCCTTTCAACTTTCTTTTAGTAAGCTCGAGGAAGGAAAGAGAAGTCAATTGAAGGATGGGCTTCCCATAATTTTCAGACAAGGAAGACAGATGTTTCCCAAGCCCGAGCAGTGATGGCCTCATTCAGTTCATCAACCTGAGGCCTGAGCTGCCTAGCCTCAACTTTGGCCTCCTAGCGACCTTCCACCTCCCGGCCTAGGTTGAGTGAAGACTTTTTGGATTTGGCCTCCCAACTTGCGGTAGCTTTCTAAGCTAAGGATAGCTCAGAGTTCAGTTTGTTGTTAGCACCCCGCTGTTGCGCCAAAGTCTCCGCGACCTTTGTTGCCTTAGCCTTCGCTTTGGCTCGGGCAGCCTCGCTCGCTTTGAGTTTTTCAAGGAATTCCCTTTCCTTGACCTGGAAGGTCGAGACTTCCCCCCTAAGCTGTTCGAGCTCAGCAAGCCTGGCTTCTTTCTCCTTCTCTGCAAGCTCGGCCCTAGCCATAGCATCTTTCTTTATCGTCTCCGCAGCCTGCCACTTTCGGTGGTTCGCCTCTAAAGTGTCATTACATTCCTCGTACAGAAGTCTGCTCACCATGGCAACCTGAAAAGAGGAGACGAGGAATCAACAAGAAACGAGAATAACTTGTAAAGAAAAAAAAAAGGGGGGGGGGGGGGGGGGGGGGGGGGGGGGGGGGGGGGGGGGGGGGGGGGGGGGGGTGCACGAACTATCGATACCTTCGTCGCTTAGCTGCAAGTTAAAGCTAACATTTGGGAGGGAGACGAGTCCCTGACCGTCGTGAAGGTTCGCGGGGTGGCACAATCCTTAGCCACCACGGCCCCCAACACCAATATGATCGGGAAGTTGGTCGATCGGCCCATTGACCGCGGCTTGGGCCGCTTCATCTGTTTTCTTATTATTTGGTTGGGACGAGCCAGGTTTGCTCGCCCCAGAAGCACTTGCCTTGCCAATAGGAGCGGTTTTCTTCTTGGCCAAGCCTTTGGCCACTTCCTTTCGAAGATTGCTAGCTTGTGTGGCGACCTCTTTACCCGAGCCAATTTGTTGCTCAAGTGCTTTATTTTTTCCGGAACCTCTAATTAGTTCGGATGCCTTCTTCGCTGGCCCCTTTCGGGGCTCCGTAATGCTTTTCCCGCCAACTGCCTTAGTAGCAGTCACGGGCTTTTTCATGCTTGGGCCTCCCCCAAGTTCGCCACCAGCCCGCTTCGAACTGATAGTTTTCGCAGGCTATTTCATCCCCGAAACAGTCAGAGCCTTCGTAACAGCCACGAGAGCAGCCACTTTCTTCTTTTTTGGTTTTTCGGCCCACATTTCTGCGAGGAAAAAAGGCAAGAGAATTAGCAATCTATTTTGCGCAGGAAAGCAGGCGTGAGCAAGGAACAACTAACCTTTCTCCAAAAGTGCTAAGAAATTGGCTTCGTCCCAACAGAAGCCGTATGCTTTCAGGTGAGGAAGTGTAAGAAGCTCGTTGACATTGCGTTGATTGTCCAAAAGATCGCTAAAATGCTGCAGCCTCTGTAAGCTCGCGGATGGAAGATAACTCTGCTCGATGTTAACTGAAAAAAAAAAAAAAAAACAGGATGATCAGTTAGAATGTACAGCTCGAGAATAAACATTGCACGTACACGGGAAGCCCGAGCCTTACTCACTTTCGCAGCGAAGACATCGGTCTCCCAAGCTTTGTAGAAAAAGAACTGGGAATCCCAACGTGGAACTTTTTTCGGAACATCGATTAGTCTGTTAAAACATACTCTCCTCGCTTTGAAAAGGTAGTACGTCTGGTCTTGCCCTTTTTTGAGTCTATACAAGTGGACGAGTTCTTCGACGGATGGCTCGCCCAATTTAGCGATCATGTACGTGCTGTATATCGCGATAATGATCACGTAAGAGTTGACCACCAATTGAAGAGGAACGATGTTGAATCCCCTCAGTACGTTGTTGATGAAGTAATGCGAGGGAATGGATACCCCGACCTAAGGAGAGTTTTGGAGGTAGCTACCCATCCAGGTGGGGCATTCTTCCGAGAATATTCCCCCGGAACAATCAAATTAAGCTGCAACGCGTAGATCGCCTTAATGCTTTCGAGGTCCCCGAGGGTAATCGAGGATTGTTGTTCTCTTCGTAGCCTATGGACCGGAGACGACGGAGATTGGGCTAGTTGAATCAAAGCACAATCAGACAAGCCTACACGTCAAGGTTTGAGCTTCGAGCGACGAATTCCTTAGAAACCTCGGGGAACACATCCTCAAGGGCTGCCGAGCTTACTGGCGAATCGAACATTCGATCTATTGTACAATTGCTAGACAACAACATGATTGTAACTCTACTCTAGGTACCTGAAAAAAGAAGCAAACATGTGTTAGAGCTCGAACAAATCGGCAACCATTCCACACTCGCTTCTATTTCAGGCACCTGAGATAGCTCGCGCAATGTGGCGAAAATACGCAACCAACCTGAGACCACCGAAGACGTACCCAAAAAACCCTACTAAAACCTTAGCACATCCAATATGGCCATTACAGTAGCCACCCTTGGACGTAAAAAATCAGAGAAACAAAAGAGAATAAGAGAGAGAAGCCTTACCGGAATGGGAAAAGTGTCGAGAACTCGTGAGAAAGACCACGACGAGGACGCAAGAGCAACAGTGGAGAGCAGCAAGAAAGAGTCAGAATAACTTTCGGAGTGACTATTCTAAGGTTTTTCGTCATCTTTTATAGTGGTTTGCATGGGAGATGAAAGGGCGGGGTTTAATCGTGGCCGTTGACTTCAAGTCGATTCTCACTCTTCATTTGTCGAGCAATCTCGACCCTTGGTCGTGGCCATGTGTCGACCATCCACAGGGAGCGACGAACCGTCAGATTGCAGTAATGATAACCATCGCCGCACGTCGCCTTGACTTCACGTGTGAACAATTGTTGTCGCCCATGCGTGACAAAACGTAACTGGCAAAGGTTGCCGCATTTAATGCGACACAACCACACGAAAATTACCTTTATAACCTGACTTTTCGTATTCTCAATTTTGACAGGTACCATGGGAGATCCAAGTGTGAGGTACGTCGACCAAACATGAGGTCGACCATAACAGCCCATTCGGACATGCACTCAGAGATTAACTATTGAAGCCGAGCTTGACATCAAATCGAGCAATAGTCTTCAAAGCCCAAAGCGAGCATCGAACACTAGGGGCAGATGTTGTGTGTGGATTTTCCACCAAGCTCGGGCCAACGCGACGATATAGCTCAACCTAGAATGAGCTCGACAACAATGATTAATCGACTCAACATAAGCTCGCTGAGCCAAAGCTCGACCCAACATAAGCTAGTTGCTAACAGTTCAATGAATCATTCAATCAACCTCTAGATTATTTCAGATCCCAGATATTAAGGGAATGACTAGATCAACAACGATCACTGCGCCCAATCGCGAGAATATTAGAATTGTGATTAAGATTAATTGTAATTCATTTCGCTCTTTTCTTTGTACAAATCTTTTATATAATCCCCCTCAAACGAGGAGGAAGGGGTTACGAATTTCACATAGGAACTATATTGTAAGCTCTCATAGCAAATACAAAAACAGTGGACGTAGGCTTCAGGGTTAACCTCATCGAACCACTTTAAAACTCTCATTGTCTTTACTTTTTGCATTCTTTTTACTTACATTGCTAATTACTCTTTAATCACTCACACATCAGTTCCGATCCCGGCAAAGTCGATTGGATTTAGCTGGTTGGTGCAAATTTTTGTATCAACATTGAGTTATAAAATTTTTTTTTATAGGTTTTATTCTTCTTAATTACCATGGGTTATGAAAGAATTTCATATAACTCCGAATATTCATCACTTTGTAAATTGCTATTAAATATATAATTTTTAAGTATAAATTTCTTCTGCAATCAAATTGAGGTATTTTTAATTTAGGGCAAAATTGGAATGAAATGGGGTATGTTGAAAGATTATAAAAAAAGCTAAAAACTTTTTATGGGGTATATTTGGACGTGAGGTTTTGTTAGAGTATTTTTCTCTTGAAAAGATGTATAAATTTGAATTTTTCTTTTTTATCATGTTATTGTCACTTTGTATCCCGTACACATGTCAAGAGGCGTCTCATGAAAAAGTAAGAAAATGACAAAAAGAATGTTTCTAGTATGCCTCACCTTTAAATTCATATAAAATGTTAATTTTCAAAAACTGATATTACTATCAAGGGGTGTGCATGAATCCAAAATTGAGTATCACTCAAGGGCACATCGATCAACCTAGATGGTTTATACCTAACCCCATCCCAACCTGGAAAGTTTGGGTTAACCTGATTCAATGAAATCAACTCATATATATGCCACCGATAATCAAAACAAACCAATTTAAACCGAGTACGCTTGGTTTGAGTTAATCATATTTTCTACTCAAAATTACAATAAAATTCACTTCTCTTTCTTTTTTTGGGTCAGTTCTAGCTTTGTTAAGAGCTCAGGAAATTATGGAATATAACATCCGAAAGACCCTAGGAGGGATTCAGCACCTAATTCTTTAGGTAAAATCAATGGTCAATGCAACCCTTTTGATTTTACTTCTAAAGGGTTCACTTTTGCATTCAGAGGCAGATATTTGGTACAAATAACAAGAAAATCGTCCACCAACTTAATGGAGACCGACTAAATCAATAGCACATGGACTAATTTATGTGTTTATATTCAGCAATTAACAACATACACACCCCTTAAATGATCTTCCAAACAGATCACTGCACTTCTACTGCATTAATGCTTGAGCTATTTGCATATATTTCTAAAGAAACCGAAACTACATATATTTGCATATAAATGGCCAAGTACCCAATTTGCGGAGTCATAAAAAAGCACCTGGAGAGTGGAGCACACTCAAACAAGAGAAGGCATAAGTTTTATCATTGATACTGAATTTGAGTTTCATCCACCCTTTACAGGACCTGTATTTGCTGGCTTCTGGAAAACTCTTAAAACTGGCATTCCATCGTCATCATCATTTCCAACCCTCCATGAACGATCTTTTTTCTTTTGAGGCTTCTTGTGGTGTTTATGGGATGCAGGCTTCTTAACAGCAGCCTTCTTTGAAGCAAGCCCATTTGCCAAGTCAAATGAGTTAAGATGATCCAGCACATGCTCGAGAACAGGTGCACTTTCAATGTCACCGTCATTTCCTGGAGAATCTTCAATATCAGATTCATCTGACTCCTGTATTTCAGACAAGCTGGGTCCTTGAGTATCTTCAATATCATTTTCCTCACAAGACATTCCGGGGGGCATTTGATAGTGGGGCAGCTTTCCATGAAGAAAATCCTTCAAAATTTGGCGAGCTGCCCTTGTTTCATCGGGCAGTCCACTCGAGGCAACATACCCACGTGAAGCACAATAAGTCCTCAAAAGTTCTATGGCCAGGGGAGGCCGAGACTGTGGTTCATATGGCTTTGGCTTCGGCAAATTTATTTTATACACATTCTCAATGACATGCCTTGGGACTTGGTTGGCCACAACCTGCACAGCCTTTCTGTGCTCAGTCATCCGATCAATGGGCAGCACCCCTGATGCAATCATATCATATCTTGAGCTTGAGAAGGAAGGGAACACCAATCCAGGGCAGTCACATAGCGTCAGCTCATCAGAAATTATCAATGTCTGGAAATGCTTTGTTTTCCCTGGGGTAGAGGTGACACCTGTCCGTTTCTGGCCGACCAAAGCATTGATAGTTGAGCTTTTCCCTACATTAGGATACCCAACAAATCCCACTACACTCTTTGGTGCCAAATTTCCACTGAGAGATTGAGCGTTAGATGTTGCTGTAATACTGCACCCTGATTTCCTTCTCATTTTGACTATCTCTTCCGCTTCAGACTGTAAATGGGCCAAAAGCTCTTCCCTGCCATATATTTTTGTATCAGGGCCATCCACCTTTTGGTGGGTATCCTGTGTCCTCCATGGGCCACTGAGTGTTTTTCCCTCCAGAGCTGCAGAAGCAGCTTTAGCTGACCAGAATACAAACAGGATCTCATGATCTCGAAAATACTTTGCCCATTTTTCCCTGGAAAGAATGCCAAGTGATGAATACTTTAACAGGTTGCAAAATAGGAAAATTGAATGGCAGCATTAAAGAGTTTGAAGTTTAGATACTAACCTTACAGAAAATGGTAAAAGGTCCGCCTTGTTCACAAGAAGCAATGTCCTCTTAAATGCATCAATCTCTCGTGCATATGCCTGCATTACAACAAACAAATGTCAAATCATAACGAATTAGCCAAAGTGATAGCCTTTGTCATGGTAGTTGGTCGAAACATGAAACATGATGCTTCGACTCTTCTTTCACTGAATTAAAACAAAAAGAAATAACTCTTCGCCTAAACATTGAGGTTCCATTTAAAAGTCATTATTTTCTTAAAAAAAAAGAGTCATTCAAATTGGATTGTGTATTCACATATAATAAATTTTTGACAAAGCTTAGTAATGTGTATAATCTTCATAGAAACTTGCATGAAACTGCATTTAGAGCTCCTCTGCAAACTCAAGAGTATAAGACTGCATCTTCAGCTTTCGCTAGATATTAACACCACTCAAGCTTTGTTTTGCACATGAAAAGAGTAAAAGAACCTTTTATGCTTCTAGTACTAAACTAATATTAAAGAAACGATTGGCCCAGTTATCCAACCTGTTAGATCCTCCCCTTTTAAGACATCAAATTTAAGGTATGTATTCAAGATTAAATCAAGATCCTTAAATTGAATTGAGGGTCCGACACTTCCCCTAAATTGAATTGAGGGTCCAACATTTCCCTTTAGATTCAATTGCCATGTATCTACACCAGTAACCCCCCTTCTACACTAGTTTGAGAATAGAGATTGCATCTCGTTAAAGTTGAGATCTAGGGCCTGATTAAACTCTCATGGTCAACCATTGTACACACTTGTTAATTAACATTCTGATGTTTCCGTCTTAATAGTAACATTTTGATCTAAAGCTTTAATACCAATGTTATGATAATGATAGTAGCCTAACAAAAATTTTGATTGCCAGGAGGTGATACTTCCCAAAAGAGAAGAAAAACTACAGTTACTCTATTTCTCAATGACCTACCATAGGAGACCTTAAGTTTGAAGATAAGTTGTAGGACAGCAGCCTAATTAAAATAGGAGAAGAAAGTTAAAAACTCCTAAATCAAATAAAATAAATAACACTAATTACTTCCAAGTCAGATTAACAAACCAAATAAGTTGAGTATGAACATAAGCAAGCATGACTTCAAGTATGAACTGTGGAAAATAGGTGATCCACAAAATAAAAGAGTATTTTTTAATCTTCATAATTAATGTATTTATATGATAAATGAAATTGAATTATATAAAATATAGCCTCAGGCAGGTTGGAGAATATAAAACTACTTCAGTAAGGGCAAACTTAAGGAAATAATTGGTATCATAACATTCACCAACCATCAATGAAATCATAATCCATAAAAGTTGCTGAAAGAGGCACTGTGAAAGTTTATCAACTCCATGAGAGATTGGGACATACAAATCTTTTGAAAGAAGTACTAAAATGGTTCCGTTCTATTACTTTATACATGTTGCATAACCTGAACACTCACATTGCTATTACAATAAGAACATCAGTAACGTAGTTTGAATCTCATTACTTCAATTGATCATATACCATACACAGTGCAATGAAAGTGAAATCACTTTTTTAACCAAAACAAAATACTATTCACTCGGCAAAA